AGCTGTGTCAGAAACCAGAGATAAGCTACAGGATATCCTGAGTGAGACATGGTCAAACTTCTCACTCATAGTCACTCAAGTGGATGTTTTACTGTCAGTTCCAAAACCAGAGCCAACGACCAGAGCTGGATTCTTAAACTATTCACGTGCAATCACCTTGGATCCAAACACAGCAAACAAATGGCTGCTCTTATCAGAGGGGAACAGAAAGGCAACATTAATGAAACAACAGCAGTCTTATTCTAATCATCCACATCGATTCACTGCATGGTCTCAGGTTCTGAGCAGAGAGAGTCTGACTGGACGGTGTTACTGGGAGGTGGAGTGGATAGGGATAGGATCTCACATTGCAGTCGCCTACAAAAATATTGGCAGAGCAGGGTGGGGGGATGAATGTAAATTTGGACGCAATGAGAAAAGTTGGGCTTTGAGTTGTCACGAAAAAGCATATGAATTTTGGCACAACAACAGCCACACTTTCATCTCAGGTCCTCACTTCTCCAAAATAGGAGTGTACCTGGATCACAGTGCAGGCATCCTGTCCTTCTACAGTGTATCTGAAACTATGACCCTTCTCCACAGAGTCCACACTAAGTTCAGTCAGCCGCTCTATGCTGGATTTTGGCTTTTCTCAGGTGTGAAAACCACTAAATTCTGCAAACTCAAGTAGAGAGGAATCTTTCATTTGTAGTGGCTTTAAAGTTGTATTTTACCATTACTTTCACACTTCATAAAGATCAGCTTTCAATCAAACATACAAGCTCTTGTATGCAATTAGCTATTATGCTATATGGAAGGTTGTTTCTGCCACTGAAAAACAACATCCATAAAATAAAACCTTGGGTTATGTATACTTCCTCAGTGGCAGAAACAACCTCCCATAGGCTGCTGCTCTGCATGATTATTTTTATTTACAAAACTATTTCTGCATATGACATTGTAAACTGCTTTACATATTTGCCAAAAAATTCTTTCACTTTTGCCTTGAAAATAAAAAGCACAGTGTTATATGAGAGCAACAAATTTACAAGAGTATAAATACAAATGTTAAGTGAAACACAAAATCCGAACTGTAACTGAGATGTTTGTTTCATTTTTGAATTTGTCTCCACATATGTTGCATTTCTTAATTTTTTTTCACTCCTGTATACATGTTGTCTTTGTCGCCCTCTTAATGTACAGTTCACTTAAAACCAAACATAGCCTTTGTGTTTTGTTTCTCCAACATTAGTTTGACATTAATGGTAGAGTTTCCTCTATGATCTTTCAGTGCTTACACTACACTGTACATGTCTACTTTAGAGACATTTCTGAGACTGAGCTGCTTGAGAACATTTTAGCCATGGATGCAAAAGCACATGGACCGTGCTACAGTTTCCTTTTTCATGTGATGGACTGAACACAGGAGGTATCTGCTTTTGACTATGCAGAGATGAATCTGATCCCATTTCTGTTTTGTGATTTCACTGAAGTTTGCTCAACTTTAATTGTCAGGATATATGTTTACTCCAGCTCTCATGGTGCAAAGGAATGAAACAGACTTATCAAATGTGCTTCGATTAGGTGCACAATGTGAAGTTCATCATTTTTCTTACAAATAAACGCGTAATGACAAACATGAACAGCTGTGCTTATTTGGAAGACACAGAATGTTTTGTAAACAACTTTATTTTGTATAAAACAATATTGAAGTCATGTCTTGACCCTGTGCAGTGTGTGGACGCTGTGCACACAATCGCCTCATTCACTGCAGTAAACATGCACGCTAGTTCACATGACTGACTCTGTCTCCATGGTTACATTATATTGTATATTATTAAACAGATTCCAAAGATACCGCCAAAGCCCTCTGCAGCTGTAACACTTTCACTCTTTGTAAATTATTTCATATTTTTGACAGTTATGAAGAAAGGACATGTTTTTTAAGGTCATACACTAGGCGGTTGCTATGGTGGTTGCTGTGGGCTAGGGTGGATGGCGCGTTCAATTCCTCATGTTAGCCGTCTGCCTTTGGAGGGCTGCGTTCCATTTCAAAGTGGCGACTGTCTGCTGTAACTCGAATTCAAACCCAACTTTGGTCTTTAAGAAAAGGCCTTTCATAGCCATTCACAACATACACAAACCTTTAAAGTATCTGATATAAAACAGAAAAATGAAGCAACTAGAGGTTTAATGATGAAGACTTGGGGGTCTGCAGTTCTACTGAATTATAGAATTGACTGAATTGGAGTTTAGAATCCACTTTTTTAGACTGTTACCGTTTCATTGTTCACCTTGTTACCTTGTTATATCATAAATAAGGTTTATCTATGTGAGTTTGATGAACTATGTGATGGTGTATTTTTCCAGTGTTAGTTCTGCTCGCTATTGTGCAGGTAGAATATGGTAAGTGTTCATAGTAATTCATAGAAATTCAAAAGCTGGCTCTATCTCCACCCCTTTAATATTTAATAAACTCTTAATTACAGTTAGAGTGTGGCTGGTAAAGATGAAAAGACATACAGAATGTAAAATGTCTGAGTTTGGTGATATTTGTGAGTAACAAACAAACCAAATAACTGACACCAAGTAACCAGGTAGTTAGAACTGGATGGCAGCACGTGTTTAGAGTGACTGCTTTATAGTTACTGTAGTTAGGTGAGTATACTTACCAAAAGCAGAAGCACACAGATGAACAGGAATCAGATGCTGAATGTTGCAGGAACATGCCCTTGTGTGGTGGTCACTGAATGCTGCTCTGTTCTTTTGTCACTTGTCTCAGTCCTTCTGGAAGTTGGCATGTTAGACAGTCCAATAGTGATATCCTGTCAAAGATATCTACAGTCAAAGTTGGATGTTCATTTTTGTCTTTTAAACATGTTCCTGTATTTAAAAGTACTCTAATTTAAGGCTCAAATGGCTCTCTAAGCCATTTAAGAAAATGTAGTTTGTTTCCTGAGCGCAGGGCTGCTGCAGCTTGTGTTTCCCTCAGAGTGACTGACCTGGGTTAAAGATGGCAAACAGGATTTAAACGGAGAGTGATGGACACTTAGAAAACCGCACAGCACTTTATAGGCGAACCCACTTTATGAGCAGCTGATATCCAATCACCGGCACAAGGCTTTAAAACCTCCGCTGAGTTTTAGCTCTCAGTAGAGTTTAAACACTGGACATAATTCACTCAGGTTCTGTCTGTTGGGTCACATTTACTTCACTGTTTTATTTACAACTGAGAAAATCAGTTTGGCTCAGATTACAGTTAAGTTTCATAACTGCATAATTTTACTGAAATTTAATGTCTCACTGGAGCACATGTTAGACTGAACCATCTGGTGCTCATTATGTGTTGGATTTTTTTAACCGTGACTTTTGAATTTAAAAAAAAAATTTATGCAAGGAGGAACGAGAAGGTGAATTTCCACCGAGAGGAGCAGCCTCGGATACTGAAAGACTCCAGTCTGTCCAGAAATATTACATTATCTGTTTGTTAATAGTTATTCAACTGTAAAATAAAAATAAATGAGGTTAATATATGATTTGTGAGGTGTTTTGTTTTGTTTTTTGATGTTGGTGTTTCGGTCATGTTACCTTTAACTCTCAAAGGCTTGTTAGAAACTATGAAACACATTGTGCAGACTTCTGGATGTTAGAAGAGAACTAATACTGCTCATGAATGAGACTAAAGGCAGGAAGCTGTCCTTTATAACTAAACATGTTAATCACACCTTCACATGTATATCATAGTTTATTATATAGCAGGTGTATTTCAGTAATAGCTGATTTATTTCAGTATAGTGGTGTACAGTCACACACCTCACGTGGGCATTATGTATGATACTCCGAAACTATAATTTAAACAACAATTTTACATATATGATCTTAAAACAGGACACAGACACTGTAATTGCTGACCTCATATCAAGTGTGTATGTAGACTGAGTTTATGTTTGACGTTTGTTTTATATCCAATCTTAACTCTCAAACATTTAAACAGCAGCGAGTCTGCAGCTGAGAGAATACAAACTTAAACTGGTTTGATTTTTAAAATCAGCAGGAAGTGCCACATTTTCACTCAGTCTTTTATTTGCTGCATGTTTTAAGTGTTTAAAAGGGGGAATGATGGAGGAATGTGTTGTAAGTGAGCATTGTGCTGTAAATCTCTGCACAAACAGTGTGTAGCATTGTCAATTTGGTTATTGATTATTCACAAAATCACCAAATGATTAATTTGGTGATTTCTTAAATGTAAAAATTTTATTATACTTGATTCTAATCTGCTGCTGAGTCTCCTACTCTGATGGAAATGCAGATAACACAGAACACAGATGACGAACACCTGTTCAACCAATCACATTCATTCATTCATTCATTCACCCAATCCGAAATCATCAAAGCAATTTTGCAAAGAGGCTGTATCTTGACAATCCGACCAGATATCTGAAAAAATAAACCACTACATTCTCGGCTAAAAAAAAAAAATTAAAAGCGTGTTTGCTGACACACAAACAGTTTTTTTCAGTACAGTTCAGTTAGTTTCTACATGCCAGGGTTGCTGGTGTGCAGAAACGGGGCCACCAGGTCAAAGTTTTGACTCGATCAGCGATAACCCCGCCCCCTGAGTATGACGGGCCACCCTGAAAGATAAAACTAATTCATGAACAGCCAGGGGTCAGGACTGCCAAAATGAATTAATTAAATACATCAGTAAATAATTAATTAAATGTGTCAATAATTAATTAATTAAATATTTATTTAATTAATTAATTCCAATTTAATTTAATTACACATTTAACTAATTATTTGATGGTGTATTTAATTAATCCATTTAGTCACTCCTGGCCCTCCATAGAACTCAGTATCCATTTTAAATCTTTCTTATACAACTTCCAGTGGGTAAATTAAATGTAATATTTTTTAAAGGAACTCCCTTTTTAGCTTTCACGACAAATGCGGAGCTGCACATCTTTCCTCTAGCATCCTCCCCGTCGTGCACGCGCACGTCGGGTCGTCGTAGGGTGGTGGGGGGCGGAGCCAGCGGACTGCTGCACTGTCCATGGTTGTGTAGTGGGAGCCAGAAAGGGTCCGGATACGTGCGAGGAGATGCGGCCATAGTCACGCTGTACTGTCTAAAATCATAACCTGCTGGGATCGTTAGCTTCGCAGCGCATTAGAGCCTACTGAAAGGTGAGCCTCCTCCTGCATTTCCATTATTTCCTTTCTTCCTCGACACTCTGGTCCTTGTCCTTGAAAATAACTGCTGACGATCCATTCCTGTCTTGCATCAAGAGCAGGCCGGGGAAGCGAACCAACATGGATGCTGTGCGCTATAGCAGTGCTGCTGATGCTTGCACGGAGATTATGCATCAGCATCGTACCCAGAGTCTAATCCTTCCTTTAGACATCTTTTGGAGCGGGATGCGATTCGTGACGAGTGGAAATTTGACAGCCGTTTGACTGAACATGTAGTTTTTGATGAAAATTTAAGAAATTAGGCATTATAGGGCTTCAAACAGCGTAGTAGATGTTGATTTGTGTCGAGATGACACCCATTTGGAGGCTTCTGTCTTCTTTAAAGAGTGTGTTTTCTGGTCCTCACCTGATGAAGCCTGTGCTGTTGCAGTGCGTTGTCTCTATGGGTGTCAGCTGCTGATTTACTTAAAGCAGCATATGCATCAGGGGTCCTGCCAAGATGTCACACCTTCAAAAATCAATAAGGAGAATTTATCTCCTGCTGAAAATCTAAAGTTTATATCATCAAAATAAAAAAAGGAGAAAAAATCACTATTTTTTCCCCCTTCCCAGGACTTTTTTCCCCCATATATTTCCCACACAGCTGGGTGTTTCTAGTAAGTACTGGACATCTGTATTTCATCCAGACAGCACAGGACCAGCTGTTGCCTGCCTGCAGCAGAGAGCATGGAATCACAAGGGCCTCACTTTAGTTGAATGAATGTACATCCTGGTAAAACAGTCCAAGCAGTGCCTCTTAATTTTGTGCATTTCTGTGTGCAGCCTGTGGACGTGAGGCATCATGAGTGAGCAGCAGAGGCAGCGCTCTCTGTCCACCGCGGGTGAGTCTCTCTACCATGTGTTGGGAGTTGAGAAGATGGCCACGACGGACGATATAAAGAGATCTTACAGGTGAGGCTTTACTCTGGTCACCTGGCTTAGCTCACAGAAAGGTCTGATAACCTGTAAAGCTGACTGTGATGCATTCTGCAGGAAACTGGCGTTAAAGTTCCACCCTGACAAGAATCCCGACAATCCAGAGGCCGCAGATAAGTTCAAGGAGATAAACAACGCCCACGCCATCCTGAATGACCCCACGAAGCGTAACATTTACGATAAATATGGCTCTCTAGGCCTATATGTGGCAGAGCAGTTTGGAGAGGAGAATGTTAACACTTACTTTGTCCTTTCTAGCTGGTGGGCAAAGGTAAGACAGGATCGTTTACTGTTTGCTCTTGTACAACCTTTTACATCTGTTGTCTTAACCTTTATTTCATGAATCTGTTTCCTACAGGCTCTGTTTGTATTGTGTGGCCTGGCCACTGGCTGTTACTTCTGTTGCTGCCTGTGTTGCTGCTGTAACTGCTGCTGTGGAAGATGTAAACCACGGCCTCGAGAGGGCCAGGAGCAGGACTTTTATGTGTCCCCTGAGGACCTGGAGGCTCAGCTGCAATCTGATGAGAGAGGTGAGAACGAGCACAGTTTTGTTTGTTTTTTTTCTTCTCACAAGTACGTTTTTTTGTATAGCACTTATAAAAATAACAGTGCTACAAAGAGTGTCACAAAAACACATAAATCACACACACTCAAAATCCAAAAAAATCTAACTCTTGCTGGAAATGGGTGGGAACAGTCTGCAGGCTCCTGCCTGAGGATCTCAGACTACACTTGGGGTGTTATGGGTACAGCAGCTCCAATATGTTTTCTGGAAACAGGCTGCAAAGAGCTTTAAATGTAATAAGAAAAATCTTAAAATCTCTTCTAAAACAAAGAGGAAGCCAGTGCAAAGTCATTCAGGCTGGTGTATTATGTTTGCTTTTCCTGTAAGAAGTCTTGCTGCTGGCTATTGAATCATTTTTATTTAAGTATTTTAATTAATAGCATTGTACATTTTACACCTTGCTAGTGTTTGATTGGACCCCTTTTGCCTTCAGAACTGCCTCATTTCTCTTTGGTATAGATTCCACAAGGTGCCGGAAGCATTCCTTAGAGATTTTTGGCCATATTGACATGATAGCATCACATAGTTGCTGGAGATTTGCTGGCTGCACACTGGGTACACTAAACACACTATTATATTCAAGAAACCATATATTTTGAGATGATTTGGGTTTTGTGATTCCTGGTGGACTAAGCCAGTTGAAGACAAGTTCACTGTGGTCATAGAGTCAGCAGCACTCAGGTAGGCTGAACTACAAGGCAGCATGGAGCTACGCTTTTACATTGTTTATGCCAAATACTGACCCTAGCATCCAACTGCAGCAGAAATTAAGACTCATCGGACCAGACAATGTTTTTCAGTCTTCTATTGTCCAAGCTTGGTGAGTTTGTGTGAATTGTAGTCTCAGTTTCCTGTTCTTAGCTGACAGGATTGACAACCAGTGTGTTCTTCTGCTCCTGTAGCACATCTGCTTCAAGGTTCATCATGTTATGCTTATCTGTATACCGGTACCTTGGTTCTAAAAAGTGTTTATTTGAGTTACTGTTGGCTTTCCCTCACCTCAAACAGTCTGACAATTCTTATTTGACATCAGAGAATACAGAGAACTGCTGCTCACCGGATATTTTCTCTTTTCAGACTCTTCACTGTAAACTATAGAGATGGTTGTGTGGGAAAATCATAGTAGATTAGCAGTTCCTGAAATGCAGTTAAACGGGTGTACCTAACAATGTGTCCGGTGAGTGATTTTTCATCTGACAAGCACTTGAAATATTCCTTGTGTTTGTCGTACAGAGGCTGGTGGTGAACCTATAGTGCTGCAGCCGTCAGCGACAGAGACAACCCAGTTAACATCAGATGGGCACCACTCCTACCGCACCGACCCCGGCTTCAACTAACCCTCCGTTCCCATCGATCCTGGCCTGCGGTCCTGCCTGCTTCCCTGCTCCACCTCAGTGAGATGAACGAAAGGGGCAAAACATCTTTCCACTTCAGAAAGAGAGCCATGCGGAGGTGAAGGGGACTAGTAAGCATGGCCCATGAAAGGAACTAATGAATTCGCATCCCTTACACCTCCCTCCCTGATCGGTCCGCTACGTATTTCCCCGCCAGTACGAGAAGAAATCCCTTTTATTTCTTCTTTTGTATCTCTCAGCCTTTACTCACACAGGTCGCCTGCCCTACCTTACCTTTCCCATAGTTTGCATTATGGTGTAGCATGCACTGTTTGGAAAAAAAAAGGTCTCCACGTTTTCTTTAATCCTTTGCAACATTTTTACTTTGCAAAGCCCATCATGCAGGTGCAGTTTTTTCAAATGAGTACAGTACATGAGGAGGGGATAAAGTTTACCAGATGTTTTATGCTAAAGGAACAGAGAGCCATGGCTCAGGGAGGTGCTGGTTGGAGAAGTGCTCGCTGGCTTAGGTGGTCGGTACCATCATCAAACCTCCAAGAACTAAGTTGTCATACATATTTACACTTTTCTCGTGTGATTCGCAATCGATATTCTTTCAGTTGAAAATGCCACCTGATGTTGTCAGACCTGCAGCGTGGTCTTTAGTGTGCGCCCCACCAGAGTGTTTTTAATGTCAATCATGAGGTTATTAAGGCACAGAGCTTTATTTGCAGACAGTTTGCTATAGATTTCTGCTGACGTTAGAGTTTCTGCTTTAGTTAGTAATTCGCTTTGGCATTTTCCTTCCTTCTGAAAGCCCCTCATCGCAGGACAGACTACTTCCCCCTGTTTTTCCTGCAGCACTGAGCAGGTTGTTATAATTGTTACTTTACATTAATGCATATTGTCTTTTAATGTATTTTAAATCAAATATGGCACATTTCAACCCCATGGTACAGTTCACTGTTGTTTCATCATATCACCAGCTACAAATTGACGATGACACTGGATACATAAAGTAAAAAAAAAAAAAAATCATACATAACCAACACGTTCTTATCTCAAGGAGTGATATAATGTTGTTTTGTCAGATGCCATAAATGTTTCCAGGTTAAAGATAAAATGTCCTTTGGTGACAGTGCCTTAATGCAATGGCCATAGTTAATCCGTGAAAGTTAATAGTCTGGTTTTAGACACCTATGAAGTCTCTGTTAGGAGGCTGAAGGGGTGGAGGTGCATAAGTTGTAGTTTTGTCATGGAGGAGACCCTGGTTTGGTTCTTGTTTGAACTTATGTATCATGGTTTACCAAGTTGAAAACCAAAAAGCAGATTCAGAGAGCTTTAATTTTAACATAAATGTAAGCAGTCCAACAGAGAGCAGCGATTAGAGCACAGGGAGTCATCTGCTTATCTCGTAGAGATGAGTTCACAGACTGGAGAGAGCACTTTGGCAATGAGTAAATGGGCTCTTTTATGTGCAGGAGGTAATGAGTTGATGGGAAACAGGTACACCAACCTGCCGCTCAGCAAACAGTGGAGAGGACACACCTCTAGCTTGCTCGTGCACGGAATCCTACCAGGGACTGAGAGAGGCCATGGCGCTTTGTGTTTTTCCTCTTTTCATTTTTGCTTTCACTCAGTTAGGTTTAAGCCCTAAAACTACTTGGTTGGCCTCCCTTTAAAATAGCAGCCTTGCTTGATGAAGTTGGAAGTGACAGTTCTGTGTCACCAGTGCCATAACCCGGTGCATCGTGAGCTGCCACCAAAGGACACCTTGTGCATAAATGAGCCTCGGCTTTGACAAAACAGCGTTATCTGACACCCGACTAATGAGAATGGGCAGATGAAACAATAACATTTCAATAGATTGTATTTATTTTATGGTGACACATCCAGTCTCTTCTTCTCTTCTGTTTTCCTGTCCTTACCTAAGATTTGTACTAATAGTAAAACTATTTTTTAGAGCTACTGCAGCTCACTAAGACTGAGAGACATTTATTTTATGTTAGTTTTATTTTTCTGCTACGTGAAGCCAAGGAGCTCCAGGTAATCCAGCTGGCTCTGATGAGAACTGCTAAAAGGTAGAAATAACAGATATTTATCAGCAGCAGTGCTGGTTAGGAGGGTGACATGTTTTTAACTCTAGATAAGGTTTAGGGAAAAAAACATGTTACACTCTTCTGAGTTATTATTATAAAAAAAATAATTAGCATGGAGGATTTCTATTTTCAACTCATTCCTGTGTTTTGAACTGTCCGATGACTTTGATATTTTGTCCGATGCTGTGTGATCGTTCCTCATTGTCGACTTTTCTGAATCCATGCTCATCAGGCATATCATCTGTGAGCCAGTGCTACAGGCAGCTCAGAGTAAAAGATTTTTACATACTGCTGAATTTGCATATATTGCCACACATTTTTGCCATAAATCGCCATGAACATCTTCGCCACTTTGTCAGTTTCATGACTGCTAATGATGTGTTTTTAATGGTTTACAATTGGTGAGCTCCCGTTGCCCACCCTCTGCTATTAACGGTATGGATGTTGACCTCTGTGGCCCTTGTATGATGTTTCCTGTAACCCTTGATGAAACGTAGATGTTCCTGTCATGGCTTTTTCATTGAGATACTGAAAAATGCTACTGTAAATGTTCTAAGTTGAATGCACTGTGTGTTTAAAAAAAATTGTAATGGATCAATGATCAGGAAATGACTCCATAAAAAGACAATATAGTATATAGTGTAACTATAGTGAAATGGTTATATGATGCATTTTTGGAATTTTATTTATTTCATACTTGGTCATGTTCCTATGGAAGCCCGTTTCTGCCACTAAAAAAAAAAAAAGCTAGTATCCATAACTCGAAATTTCGAGTTATTTTCTCGAAATTTCGAGTTATTTTCTCGAAATTTCGAGAAATATAACTCGAAATTTTGAGTTACATTTCTCAAAATTTCGAGTTAGCTCTGCCAATCAAAAATATACGTGAATGAGGTCGCTTTCTTGTTACCCGGAAGCATATGGCGCAGGACCGCGCACTCAAAAACGGATCCCAACAAATTAAAGTATGTTTGCTGATAGTAACACCATGTGATTCAGCTAATAACACAGGGATTTCATCATTTGTGAAGCCAGGCTGAAAACACTCAGCAATCTGTGCATTCACGACTGGATGTAATACCGGTAGCTTAGCTGTAGCATTTGTAGCTGAGGGCTTCAGCTTCCGGGTAACATGGAAATGACGTCATTCACGTAGATTACTGATTGGCAGCGCTAACTCGAAATTTCGAGTTGCTTTTCTCAAAATTTTGAGTTAATATGTCGAAATTTCGAGAAAATAACTCGAAATTTCGAGAAAATAACTCGAAATTTTGAGTTATGGATCCTTTTTTTTTTTAGTGGCGGAAACGGGCTTCCATATGTTTCAGATGATGATCGATTATGATTTTAACTGGTATGGTGTTGTAATGTAGCCATTAAATTTTGCAAGGAATGGTTTAATGGTTAAGGTCGCTTGTACATACACTTGGCCCATATAAAGTATAAACCTTAACATTTATGTTGTAGCATGGTAACTGTGTGTCTGGAAGAAAACAAGTGGATCATTGATCTCATTTGCTCTTGGTGAATAAATGTTCCTCAACATTTTGACTCGGGTTTTTATCAAATTAAGTTACATACAGGTTTTTTGTTTTGACATGGATTTCAGATATTTACAGTAGTAGTAATGATATTACTCAGGTAATGTTTTAAGCCAAGTAACCAACAAGTTAATGTCAAGTCTTGAACCAACCTTCATTTCTTCATATTTTGTTTCCAGGGAGCCAGATTTGTAATTTTTTAAGAGGTCTTGAGTGATAGTTGTCTGGACTTTTGAAGGTATGGCTGCTTTTTCACCAATTTTTCCGTCCAGTCGGTGTATATGTACGGAGCCCCGCAGGGGACATGGGAGAAAATAAATGAAGACTGACTTTGCGAGATCCCGAGTTCGTTTTGTGAGATCTCGCAAAAGTCCGTCTTAATTTTTTTTTCTCCCATGTCCCCTGCGGGGCTCCGTATATATGACCATTTTCAGAGGATTTTTGTTTTTTAAACCTGATACAGGACATGAGAGATGCATCTACTTGGCCACTGGCCCATCTAGCCTCATCAGAAATAGTGTCAGTGGAAGGAAAACAAGAAGAAAAAGCTCAAGTATGCCAAACTGGAGTTAAAATCAGCAGCAGCAGGTCTTATGGAGCAATGAAATAAAAAAATCTTTGGCCCAGTTCATTGTCATTTCTTTATGAAGGCGGTCTACAGCCAACTGTAAACTCTGCACGATCAGTTTGGAGCTGCATTTCAGCTGACGGTGTCTTGTTGGTTTTTCACAGTTGCTGTAACATATGAAAGTACTGTCAAATTTTCAATCACCATGCAGAAAAGTAAGCATCTAAATGACTAAATAAATGTCATATTAAATATTAAAAAAATAAGAAGCATGAACACTGTTGATATCCTTTACACCAATTTATCTTTAAAATTATTATTATATTATTACTTTTAATTTAAAATATACTGCACATATATAAAAAGAATAATAAAAAAATTTAATAATTAATTTTGACAATGAAATGCTAATGCTAAATGCTAACATAACAGCTGTCAGTTATTACATTTTTGCTCACATGTGAAGGTATTTGTTAGATAAACAAATGTATCTAACTGTAATTAAAAATCAATTTTTTTAAGCAAAAGGATATTAACTAAAAAAAACAAAGTAATCTGACTTCCAAATAAATCATCCCTTACCTTCATAGTGTGGTGGATTGTTTAGCCAGCAGATGGAGACAAGTCATTCTTCCAACTTACCTCAGGATCCTTGTACTAAAACATCTCTCAACTGTTCAAACTAGCAATTTGATTTGATTTGAAACTTTGATTTCATGTACATGAGTATAGATTTTATTTGTGATTTTACCCTTGTTTTTTGAAGCTATACTGTGCAGGGGATAAGGCTAGATGCAGATGTTTTTAGTTAAACTAATTTAAAGGACACAGTAGGCATATGTGAACATCTTGCTCCTCTTCTTTGCATGGGTTTTAATCTGCATGTGTGGGTGGCCTGGTCAACCATGTTCACAGACAATGATTTCCATAATAGAATCATACCTGTTTTAATGCAGTGCCACCTGTGGGCCTGAAGATCTCTGAATCTTTTGATGATATCATGAAGGGTAAATGGAAATATATTTAAAGTCTTCACAATTTTATGTTGAGGAATATTATCAAAATTGTTCCACAATTTGCAGATGCAGCTTTTGCAGACTGATGATCTTTTTGAGATCATCTGACTGATGAAATGAGTTAAATATGAGCTACTATTTTTCTTAAAATGAAGCATTGTCTCAGTTTAAATATTTTATATCGTCCTGAGAACCAAGGAAAAAAATATATATTTCAGTTTATCATTGTTCCTGTGGTGTGTATGTGTGTGGGTGTAAGCCCATTAACAGCCTCGGTGATCCTGGCTGCCTGCCTCCTGCTGAGCTCAGTGGGGACAGTTGGCAGCAGCTAGCCAGTCAAACACTTGCGAGGTGAAACTGGCAGCAATGAGCAGACAAGGTAAGACCGTCTCGCCATGTCTGTATGGGACCATGTGTGAAATTAGCACCGACATGCATTTACTTTAAAGGTTTATTCGTTGAAATTGTGCGGTTCATGTTATCAGCTAACAGCAACAAATGTGCAACAGGTGAGGTTAGCTGTTAGCAGAGCAGCTACTTATTAGCTAGTTTTTTGTACAGGAAGAGGGGGAGGAGAGTTCAGCACTGAGGACAGCTCCAGTGTCTGTTTATAAATGTCTACAAAAAGTGTTAAAAGTATGCAGAAGTTTCATATGTATCTATAAAAGGCTTTTCTGTGGCTTTTTGTACATAACATCTATATTAGCTATATCATTAGCTGTGTATATGCTATACTGTGTATCTATACCTACATTTGGTGTATTTTGTTGTTGTTTTATGCATTTTAAAGGCATTTCTAAGTTAGATGAGG